TGGAGGTGCACAAATGGACAGTCTGGCAGTATTTGTGACTCACTGTCATTCAGGCACACAAGGCCAGGTCCCCTGCTAGGTCCTGTCCCTCTGAGAGTAGCAGAGGCACAGCTGGAAGCCAGACATAAATCTGTGATCTTCTGGCCAGTTAAATTCCCAACCTGCAACACCCTGGAGCTGGTGTGGTCCTGAGCTTTCTGTTCTATCGCACATCTCTCCCCAGAGTTTGGTAAAACCAGATGAACTTTGAGAGGAAAGCTGTGGTGGACTTATAAGCAAAACTAGCAGCTTTTATTCTATTTGTAGAATGGAATTGTAAAATATTTGTATTTCTTTGGCTTCATCCAGCAAAGCATTCACAGTACTGTTAATCTTTAGATGCAGGCAGCACTGAAATAGTGCACATGATTCAAGAGACACCTAAGCTTAAGTGCTGAGACCTGAAGTCTTTGTTCAAACATTGTTATTATGATAGGAGGATTCTCACTGAGTTTGGCAAGTGCTTCCCCAGGACTGAACACGGAGAGCAGTTGTTTCAAAGCTGCCTAAGAGAAATGGATCCCCAGTGTCACCTGTCTGTATGGGAACTCTGTATGTAAAGAAGGTGGCAAGTGTACACCCCTGAAAAGTAAAGAATTCTAGGACCTTATGAGGAGTGCAAAGGCATGAGAAAATATTATATGGCAGCAGGGAGATAATTATGTTGAACTTCAAAAAGAGATTAACTTGGACCTAATTTTGAATATACTCTCAAACAACTCCCTTCAGTGTTTTCTGCCACCAGTCTCCTCTCCTTCATGACAACAGCCTGTTTCTGTATCTAGCCACCCATGGCTGATGTCTTGCAAAAACCAAGGGCAGGAGGGCATTGTATTAGTGCAGTCTTTTAGTTGAACAGTGAGGTTGGTATTCCGGATATTGGTAGAGCTAAGCCTAATTTCCCCTTTCTGTCCCATGCCCTAATCTCATTTTTTTCTGCCTTTTCACTGTTCCACTGTTTTACTGGCTTTAAGAATTCCCACAAAGAATGCTGAAGGTGCTCAAGTTACAGCACTGGAAACCTAACCATGGAAAATACCAGAGACACTTATGTAAATATAAAAGGGAGGTAGTTAGCATGGAAGGAGGAGGAATGGGTTTGAAAGTCAACTGGATAACAGCAACAGATCCTGCTTAGATTTCGACCCAAGCTGGGGAGATTTCTTCCTTTACTGTCTATATTGTGCCCATGAGATGTAAAGAAATCATATAAAAAAAAAAAGAACCTAGCTGGAAGTGGTCAATTTTCATGCTGCTGTTGTTCATGGTGCCAAAAATTGTAATGACTGAGATCTTCCTCGTTGCCATCTTGCAGAAGCTCTCCAGATATTCGTCTCGCTGCTGTACGTACATGGTGTTGTCCGCCTTGGGGGTTGTGATCAGCTGGTAGGTGGCAGAGACAAAAGAGCTTGTTTAGTATAAGGAACGAAGCAGATGAGTATTTTAATGAAGGAGAAATAGTCACTGTTTGCAAATTGGGCTCTCTTTCTCATAAAGCTGTTATTTATTTGTGTTTGGAGTGTACCTTCAGGCCCAGACCTAACCCGAAGGTGTCCAATCAGCCACAGGAAAACTTTTGGAAGCATGTCCAGCTGGTTGCATGAGCCCTGCCACTGTTTCTCCCCAGTTCTGGTAGAAGAAAGCATTGGATTTTACAGAAAACCACGTACTTTCCTATTATCCCTTGCCCTGCCAGTCTTGCTAAGTCCCCCTCACAGCCTTCAGTGGTGCCATGAATCTAGGATTCCTGCTACTCACTCACAGTGGGAGCACTGGGAACAGCTGCTCTGGCCTTACCCAATGGTCTAGCCAGGGCTCCCAGTGGCTATTTTGTCTGCGAAGGAGTGAATGAATAGGGCTACGTGAATATTTATGTAACTGATGGCCATATAAGAAGACCTTGAAGACTTGCTAAGGCCACTCTGATCTCATCTTAAAAAGGCTGATTCAGTTTTTGTTTGTTCTAAGCCACTTTGATGTCTTATGTGGACTTATATTTCCTATAAGAAGGGGAATAATTACAACAACAAAAGTATAAAAAATCTGGACAATTTATAGTACTTATTTCAAAGCATTCTAAGAACTGCAAAGGTTTAACTTCTAAAAAATTTAAAGCACGTGAGTTAGATTCTCCATCAATGGCTGAGATGCAAATATGCCAGGGAAGGTGTGTGCATAACACCATTTAGTGGGCCTGTGCAGCAGTTTCCAGCAGAAGATGGCTAGGGATGCTGCAGCCCTAGCAATATAATCCTTCTAACTAGAAGCATTGAACTGCAATCAAGCACCTGCCACTGATCCTCAAACACAAAGGGAGCTGAAATCTGGATCCAAATTTTATGGTTTGAGGTCACAAATAATCACCAGAATTTCTCAATTGCAAACTTATGCTTTAGTCTGTAACAGGTGGAATAATTTTCTAGCTGCCTTCTGAAGTTTGTAGGGCCTGGAGGTTAATTTTTATGATACACTCTTTTTAAATCCATTTCATCAATGTACTGAAATGTAAAATATATTTCTGGGCTTATAAGATCTGCCTCTCATTTATGCAAAGGCCCCTGGCACAACTACAACACTGGGACATGAAGGTGAATGAGAGTCAGACACAAAGAGGATTTGATTTCTGGGCTATAGCATGCAGCACATTGCCTTTAAATGGCATAAAAATGCTTCAATGGAACCAAAAAGGGTCATGAAAAGGATTTGAGGACTGAGATCAAAACCAGACCATGGGGTTTGTGTTGTCCTAGTTTTGGAGGTCATAAGCAGGAAAGCAGAGGCAGGCCTGAATTTGATCTGCTTCATCAAACCTTTCAGAACAAAGCAGGAATCACTTAAGAGGCAAAGCAAACTTCATATCAAAGCTTTATGCCATGACTGTTTTAACCCAGGCATTATATATGCTGTATCTATCTATGTTTGCATCATAGAATCACAGAATGGTTCAGGTTGGAAGGGACTTTCAAGATCCCCAAATTCCAATCCCTCTGCTGTGGGCAAGGGCACCTTCCATTAAACCAGGTTGCTCCAAACACCATCCAACCTAGGCTTGAGCACTTACAAGGTTGGGAATATCCACAACTTCCACTCTCCCTTTTCTTTATATGCTCCCTTTAGGTACTGGGAGGCTGCTTTATAAACTGTCAGTCTGCATTTCATCACCACAGGAGAATAAATAAAGAACCCAAACTCACTAAGCCAAAATTTTTCAACAATAGTAAGACTGCAATAAAAGCCCCCTATAGAGAGGTGGGCTGCAGGACTCAAAATCGATACATTTTTTAAAGTTTCTGCACCTGGGACCTGTATTTGTCATTAATTGAACTCAACCCAGAATAGCTTTAAAAAAATGTTTGAAATTCATGCTGAAATCTTAAATCCTTAATGATCTAGAACTTAAAAACCCATGTCCCTCTCAAAAGACCTTTGGAAAAGGACTGAAACAATGTCCTTAACAGTCTGTTAAGGCATCTGAAAGATGCAAAAGCAACAGGGGAAAAAAATTGCATAGAGACACTTTGCAGCTTAAGTGTGGCTTAAGTCTCCAGGGAAGGGTTTAAAGATTCATGAATAATAGAGTTCATCTAACTGGAGAGACTGACCCTAATGGAACAGAGCAGTTTGATAGGAAGGGGTGCAAACAGGCACATGTGTGGGTTCAAAGAACCTTGAGAAGTTCTCTTTTTTCCTCATGTGCCATGCATGGCAAAGAGATAGTGGCGTTCAGCCACTGCTTTTACTAATAACCAAATCAAACCTATTCTCCAAGGCTGAGGATGATTTTAGGTTCTGGAAAAGCGAAGTGCAGCGTGGCATAACCATATGTCTTCAGTGAGTTTTGACCTGACAGTCTGAAATTGTGCAACTTTTTCTTGGAGATCCAGCTGAGAAGTGGCCTAGTATAAGAAGGTTCAAATTTCAGACAACCCTTTCAGTTGCCAGGACTGTGGTGGTGTAATGAATTAGCAGCCTGACATCTGTGAGCTCTGCTTTTGGCGCTTTTTTAACAAGTTTGTTTTTATTTATCCTGATGCTACGCATATTCTTGGAAGTAACAACATTGAGACCAGATTTCAAAGATCCCAACTTTTGCATAGTTTCTCTCTCGAGCTTTTTATTTGGCTAAATATTAGTTAGCAAGTAACTAAGAGACATTATTTGCAAAATTCAGTCAAGTTCAAATTTTTCAAATATATGGCTTTTTTCCACTTCCAATGCTAGCCCTACAGCTGGAAGAATGGGGGGTGGGGGGAAGGAGAAGAAAGTTACCTTCTGTTCAGGTCCATGAATCATCAGCAGAATGATTAATTAAATTCCAATGGTTGGAATCTTAACTTGGCATCTTAGCTTGGCATCTTAGCTATTTGTATTGGAATATGGAATATGAAAGTCAAAGGTGTGTTTTAACATTGACTCTCAGACAATAACTGTGAAACAGGCCAGCTTGCAGTAGAATAATTGCAAAAAACCAGCTCCCACAATAATATTTTTAAAGAACTGTTTTTCAAAGTGTACCCTTCAGGATATGTGCCATCCGCCAGAAAAAACATTTCTATTACAACTAGAACTGTTTCCTGTCCCAGGTGAAGTGATTTTTATGATAAGTAGTTGGAAAAACATACAACACTATTAAATCCAGAGACAAGTAACTCCAGACCATGCTGAAGTTCTCAGACCTGAAAACTTTAATTAGAGTCTTACAGTTTAATAAAAACAGCAGGATAAAAAAAAAAATAACAAACCAAAATAAATTTTGCACAGTACCTCTGAAGACGTCTGGGAGATCTGAATGCCAAATTCCCATTATATCTCAATCCCAAGCTCCCCATCCCTCAGGGCATCTGATCACAAGCCTTTGTGCATATCCTCAGTCAGACATGCACTAGAATTGCCAAAACACCTGGCTTGCTTCCAGTTTTAGGACACCAGCACCAATATGAAGCAGGTGTGCCAGCTGGCAGGACATGCTGAGCATTGAAATGTGGTAACATTGGCAAGTACCCTAAAGTGGTGAATGGATGTAATCCACACTGGAACCTCATTTTATTGATCATACTGATACAGATCCTGGCACCTATATATCCCCTGGAAACAAGATAATCTGATGGCTATATGATGGCTCATGGAGGTGACTGTGAGGAGATTTTAGCCTAATTTGTGTCTACTGCATGTAAGATTTCCAATATGAGGCTGCAAAACCTTCCATGTTGAATATGATTGTTTGGGTCTAGAAATTTTACCTCTTAAACAAAAGCACCAAAAAAGAGTAATATAAAACCACCATAAACTTACAGTTCCACATAATCCTGCCAGGAGAGAGATATGACTTCATTTAGGTAATAAGATGAACAAGTTACTTACAATGAGCCGCCTTTTGCCTTCAAAATATTCCAGGAGTTTGGTTGCTGATTTTCTGGGAGGCTGGAGGAAAGGCTTCTTATTGGGCTTGGGAAAATCCTCATTCTCAGTCCTGCTCCCCTTCTTGTTCTTCTTGCTACGATCTTTGTCCTGCTTGCTCTTTTTCTCAGCTTTGTCCTTCTTGGACTGCTTTTCACTCTTCTGCTGCTTGTCAGGTCTGTCCTTCTTCTTCTTCTTCTCAGGTTTATCCATTCGCTCATGCTTCTTTGATTCTTTTCCTTTCTTTGGGGGAATATTTCCCGCTGCAAACTGTTCCTCTAAATGAGAACTAGCAGGCTTGCTTGGGTCATATTTATCTTCATATTCATTACTCAGTATCTTTTCTTGGGCCTTCTTTTTTGGTGGTTTAGTCTTAGTTGGTTTGTGTTGCCCTGGTGTGACATTCAGGTCCCTGTGGTTGTAATCCTTTCTGTCTGTTCGGTTATCTTTAAATCTACCCACACTTGCCTTTGTATAGTGCACTGAGGGAGCTGTTGGGCCTTCTGTGAAACTGTCATAGCGGGCAGCTTTGTTTGGTTTCCGTGTGGCTGCCTGTTGTTTCTCCGAGTGTCCGCGCTGACGGTCCCTGCGGTTTGCTTTCCACACAGGAGAGTAGAAGTCCTCAGAGGCTGTGACTCGTGGAGTGGTGGCATCAGGGGCTACTGGCAGCCTGTGGTACTCTATAGTGGAATGTGACTTTGTGGTCCAGGTCCTCTGTGTGGTGGGGAGGGGTGTAGTTGTTGTAGACCGGCTTGCTGTTGTCACTGCATGGGTGGTGGCACGAGTAGTTGTGGTGGTGGGAGGGAGGGTAGTGGTCCTTACTGTAGGCAGTGGAGTGGCTACTGTGGTTGTCATTGGTTTCCTCACTGTTTTGGTCCTTGTTGGCTGACTATTGTTTTTCCTTGGCTCCTCCTTCCTTGGTGACACCTGGACATGTTCACTGCCAGGGGTAGGCTGGGTGCTGCCCCCATTGTTGCCTTCCTCAACCACTTGCCCCTCTACTCCAGCTGCTTTGCAAGTCTGGATGAAGCCCTTCTGCCTCATCTTTTCAATTTTTCTGATGGGGTTCTGATCAATGACTTCGTACATGGCCTCTAGCCTGACTGGATAAGGATACCTTTCCTCCACCTGCAGGGTTTTCTTCAACAGTACCATGCCAAATTTCCCTTTCTCCAGTTTCAGAAAGCTCATGAGCTTAGGGATGAGGGCAGGATCTAGTGGCTGTTCCAGTATTTTTCCTTCATTGGTTATCCTTCTGACTTTTCCCCCTTCTTCCCCTTCTTCATGAAACAACACAATCTGCTGGATGTGCCTCTCAGCCAGTTCACAGTAAACATCATTTTTTAGCAGGCTCATCATGAGCCGGTAGTAGCCCTCAGAGGCATGGGGGGCAGAAATGACCCACACCCGATTTTTCCCTGCAAAGCTGGCCAGGACATTGGGGGAACTTGACCCTGAAGGGAAACGTACCACTCGTGACTGTGAGGCAGAGGATATCCCTTCGTCCTTAATCATCTCAGACTTGGAGTATTTGGTTGCAGCTGTGAGTCTCTGTACCCATCTCATTCTGGTCCCTGTGCCCCGGGCCTGGGAACGTGCCTCCCCTTGCAGGAGGTTGGCAGGTGGTTTTGGAGGTGTGGAAGAATCCCTCTTGGAAACAGGGTGTCGAGGATTTGGACTTGAATTCCTCAGGGATGCTCCAGACCTTCTCAGGACACTGCTTGAAGCCCTGTAAGCCAGGGGCACTTTCCTAACTCCATGGCTCCCTCTCTCTGCCAGCCTCTCTGTCTTCTCAGAGCCACACACTAGCCATGCTGCCCACAGCAGGGCTAAGCTGAGAGCTGGCCTCCAGTTCATTGTGTAATCTGTGTAAGGAGGGGGAGGAGAAGTTAGATGGTAACAGTATGATGATACCTTGCACAAGCGATAAAAAAAGCAAAGCATAGGCTGGCTAGTTTTTGTGATTTATAAGTACTGATTACACCTCAGTCCTGCCCTAGTGGCTTTGTACATTTTACAGTTACTGTTGGAAAAACACAATTTTATGAAAAAATGAGATCATCCTTCTATAACACAACATTGTCTGTCCAAAAGGACACTGTGATCTGCATCCTTCTCTCTCTCTGTCACTCTCATGCTCTCACTATACACACATGCAAAGACACGCAGAGAAAGGGTCCCGTACCTAGAGCAGAAAGCCAAGAAGTTGACTTGAAACTTACACTCTCAGGGAAGTTCCCCTTCCAGAGATGAGGTTTCTCGTCTTTTTCCTTTAAAAGGAGACCATACGGCTTTGCTGCTGCTCAGTGATTTATCTTTACACAGCCCAACAGGTCCC